CGAAGATCGGCAGGAAATGTGCAGCGCTCACCAGACCACGTTCTCAAAGACGTGGTAAGGAGAGGACGGACAGTGGGACAGAGGCTGCTGGTCCCTCTCTCGACGCTGCTTCCAGGATTCAGCTTGGGACCTGTTGGCTTCTGCAGTTTGGGGACATTCTGAATGTCTGCGGTTACAGGCTAACTCCTCCCATACAAAGGGGTTGGAAAACCCAGCCACGGGACCAGGGCAGAAGGACCAGCCACACGCCGCTCACAGGCAGCAGATGCCCGGTGCTCTCCAGCACGCCAGATGCATAATAATTTTTAACTATAATTTTGCAACTGGAGTTAGCAATCGAGAGTCAAAAGACTTACAATAAATCCAATAAGGGAAACAAGGTAACTTCCAGAAAAAGGGAGGAATGAAAGTGACGAAAAGGGTTAACAGGACAGGTTAAGACTGAGGCTGTTGAGGAGACAGAAAAAAACGTGGCTCACAAATCATGTGAGTGAAAATGACTGAATAAGGAGGTCAGACGGTGTAAGGCATCGGGACAGTAACGAACCATTTTAGACAAAAACCGGTTTCTGGAATGGATTGCCTCTCATTTATTTATTTATTTATTTTTTGCGGTACGTGGGCCTCTCACTGTTGTGGCCTCTCCCGTTGTGGAGCACAGGCTCCGGACGCGCAGGTTCAGCGGCCATGGCTCACGGGCCCAGCCGCTCCGCGGCATGTGGGATCTTCCCGGACCGGGGTACGAACCCGTGTCCCCTGCATCGGCAGGTGGACTCCCAACCACTGCGCCACCAGGGAAGCCCTGCCTCTCATTTTTATTATATCCAAAGCAGATGGAGGTCTGGTCAAAGATAAGAAGAAGTAGGAATAAGGACTAAAGGAAAGGTTTTATGGAGAAAATTCTGAGTCTGAAAGAAACTTAGTCAAATTCATGAGCTGAAATGCCCCAAAAGGAGTGCTTCTGAGAAATGAAACACTAACATAAGTGAGAGGAGAAATTGGTCATTCTGGAGTATTTTAGAGTAAGAGAGGAAGGTTGAAAGGAATAAAAAGGAGAAAATCAGGGACTTCCTTGGCGGTCCAGTGGTTAAGATTTCACCTTCCAGTGCAGGGGTGCTGGTTCCATCCCTGGACAGGGAGCTAAGATCCCACATGCCTCGCAGCCCAAAAACCAAAACATAAAACAGAAGCAATATTGTAACAAATTCAATAAAGACTTTAAAAGAAAGAAAATCAAATCCAGTTCCGAGAGGAGAAAGGCCATCCTCAGGGAGGATCAGAGGAAAAGCTTTCGTCCTGAGGTCTGAGCCGTGAATCGTGGCTTGGACGAGCTGATTCCTGGTACACGTCGCACTATGCTGGCCTGAACCATGTTTGCTGCCTATTTTCTTTTAAACTCACAAAAGTCAAAGTATCATGTAGCTTTACCTACCCGCTTGAGGCTCCAGTTAATGAAAGAAAAGGATGAATCAGATGTAAGAATATAGCTTTGAAGAAAAAGCCCGGATCATTCAACGACATGATCAGTCTAACAATACCCGCGATGTTTGTCTGACAGAGAAATGACTATTTTTGGACTTTAGGTAGCAGAAATGTAGTAGCAGAAATGTATCACGAGCACATTCATAGCTATTTGTGGCATAGGGCCACTTAGAGAATCAGAAAGTTCAAGGCTTGGATACAGCCTGGTTCTTAAGTGTGTTCTTGTAGTAACAGTTTGTTTCAGAAGGAGTAATCGTGAGGTTTTTTTTCTTTTGAGAAATGTAATAGAACAGTAGCAATAGTAGCTAAAGCTTCAATGGTTGCTTCCTAGTGTCAGGCACTGTTTGAAGCCCTCTCCACATGGTAACTCCTGTAACCCTTATAGCAGTCCTGTTAGGTGCTGTTATGATTCCATTTTGCAGATAAGGAAACTGAGGCACGGGAAGGATAAATGGCTTATCTGAGGTCACACAGCCAGAAAGAGCAGAGCCTGGGTTCTAAGGTATCCCTCCCACACTTGGCAATCGTTCACAGTTTTCCTTATAATCTATAAAAGAAATACAACACCACACAGAAAGCTGCAGTGCTGGTTCTATCACCTTCCCTTTTTCCGTGAGTATGAGGTGCACCGTTCAGTTCCTTTTAAAACACTTTCACATGTATGTCTTATATCTATGGACGATACATAGTGTTATTTTTCATGTTGCAAATATTTATATAAGTAGCAATATACTCTATTTCCTTTGGATTGCGATCTGTCCAGGTTGATATGTGTCCATCTCCCTGCCTGCAGCACCCAGGTCCGGGCGCTGGCCACGTCTGGCTCCTGAGCAATTGAAACGTGGCAATTCCAGCTGAGATGTGCTATGCGTGTAAAATACAGAGTAGATTTCAAAGACAGTATGAAAAACAGTAAAGCACCTCTTTAATCATTTTTAGTATTGATTACATGTGGAAACGGTAATATTTTGGACACATGAGTTAAGTAAAATATGTTACTGAAATTAATTCCACCTGTTTTTTGATTTTTTTGTGTGTGGCTACTAGAAAACTGAAAACGACCCAAGTGGCTTTGCGTCTATTTCTGTTGGAGGACATTGATCCAGCTCGTTCTTCTTAAGTGCCCTAAGTCTGGGTTTTGTCAATTGGTGAAGGAGAAAGCCCTAAGTCTGAAAAGTAAGAAGTGATTGTTACTGTCCCTGGGGACTTTTCAAGGTGATTTATGTGTAATAACCTGTTCAGTCTTCCTGGGAGGTTGTATGCCTGCATGAAGGAGGTTGTGCAGAGTTCAGAGTCACACAGCTTCAAACAGGCTGAGTGGGGCCTGGCCTGGCCACCAGCTGGTCCACAGGGCCCCATGAGAAGCAGAGAGAGCCGTGAACTCAACGAGCAGACAGCTTTACTCAGGGACATCAACACCACACAGTCCTTATGTGTCAGTGGGGCTTCTTTTTTTTTTTTTTTTAACTTTTAACAGAGCAGTTCTGAGAAGCCACACATCTGTGGTAATTTCAGCCTTATTGAAACCAGCACAGGCAGTATTTTTCTGACATCCAACATTTTTCTTGCCAATGTTATGAGGTCAGCTTTACCCTTTACCACTAGTTATATTAACTATTTTTAGGGCAAACTGTCAATGCACCCTACTCATTCCTGCTTCCTACATTTTCAATTTATTTTCTTTAGCCATATCTATTTATATCTGAAGTGTGTTTTTTTTTTTTAAGAGATGTCCTCATTATTCTGCCAACGATGAAGTCGGGGCTTGTAATCAAGTTATAAACACACTGGGAGGGAAAGATGACATGTGATTTCAATGGGGAGATTGTGGATGAACTTTGGATTCTTTTTCTGATTCTGAATAAAAACCTCACTTTAACATTTTGAATCATACAGTCACAGAACTGGTAGGGGCCTGAGGTGTCCTCTGTGTTGGTTAAGACCATGGGCTTTGTATCAGGCAGGTGTGTGACCCTGGGGCCAGAATCTACCATCTATAAAATGGTGATACTAACATCTACCTTCTAGAGCTTTTTTGTGGATTAAATGAGATGACTGCGCTCTGTTCCTTATACGTACTTTTGATCCACAGTAGTTGTGGTAATTACTATTATTATACCGTCATTATCTCCCCAGATGACTCCAAGGGGGTGCAGTCTCTTCAAGCCCATCTAGTCCTGTCCCAGCAGGACCTTCCTCCTTGTTCTCCACCAGGACCCCTGAACTTTCCCCCTGGGGGAGAGGCCCATGGTTAGCAGGCCACCCCCTCCCCGTGCTCGCCCTGTGGGGTGCCCCGGGCAGTTCTTACAAGAAAGCTGTGCTGAGGCCCGCTACCAAAGCGCCCCTCAGCACACCCTCCGACCTCCCCACTTCCTTCAACACTCTTCCTCCCCTAGGACCTGCCTCCACAGACGCCTCCAGATGCATCTGAAAATATCACTGTTGAGGCTTTCCTTGGGACCAGCCACCTTGCTCTTAAGTGCTCTTGCCAATGACTGTGGACCCCTTGCCTCTCCAAAGCCGCTGAGGAAGGGCAGGGCTTTCCTAGCCAAGCTTAGGTTGCATGTCCCCATTGCCCAGAAACGTATCACACAGCCCCACATCATGGCTCGGGAGGACTCGTTTTGGGCACCGTAACCACAAACCCAGGAGAAGTCCCCACTTTGGCCTAAGATAGCAGGGAGTGAGAGCTCATGCCAAGGACACCTTCAGAGATCAGCCACGTGTCTGAAGTTGGAAAGTAGTTTAGCTCTGCCATGACCCTGAACTCAAGAAGATTTTAGAGGTGAGCACACTGACACCCAGGGGCTTAAGGAGTTGGCCCACAGGTACGGAGAATACCTGACGTTGACTTCCCCCTCGGATACGATGTTTATTCCTGGCACTAATACCCTTCGGCAATCCCCGCTCGTGTTGAAGTTGAGACAGCCTCCCACCCCCCCCCCCACCGTTAGCACAGCGTGTGTCATCCAGAAGATGATAAGTGATAATATAATTATGATAATAATTAAGTGTTCAGTTATTAGGCCCTCGCAATTTCTTTGTTTCTGCGTCCTTAGGGCGGGCTCAGGGCCTCTCCCCTGGAGCCTTCTGCGCAGGTGGGAACCCTGGGCCCTCCCCTCGGATTCTCCACGCTCGCGGGCCCAGGGTCTGACACCTGCAGGTGCCCGGCAGGTGCTGTCCCCTCTTCGCGAGGCCTTATTTATCTCAAGTCTTCTTGTGCTGGTTGCTTTTGGACCCTCTTTGTAACGTGAATAGAAATAAGATGTTATTCCTGAAGTACGCCTATTTCTGACTATTGAAAATTTTAGCTGTCTCAGGCACAGCCAAATCCAGGCCAACCCGGACCCTCCAGCCGCCTGTTGCCTAGTAACGACCGCCCTGGCCCCGCCCCGCGCCCTGGCCCCGCCCCACGCCCTGGTCCCCGCCCCGCGCCCTGGCGCGCGAACTCAGAGCCTCCCTCCAGGTCCCGCCCCCGCGGCGCACAGTGGTGACGTACAGAGTCCGAGACACTTCCGGCGCGCTCGGCCGCCGGCCCCGGTAACCGGCTCCGTGGGTCCCGGGCGCCATGGCTTCTGTGGGGGTGTCTGTCAGCCGGCAGGCCGAGGATGCGCTGCAGCCACCCGCAGAGCCGCCGCTGCCCGAGACGAAGCCGCTGCCGCCTCCGCAGCCGCCGCCGCCGGTCTCCGCGCCACAGCCGCAACCGCCGCCGAGGCCTCCGTCCCCGGCCGGCGTGAAGGCGGAGGAGAACTGCTCCTTCCTCCCACTGGTTCACAACATCATCAAATGGTAAGGCTCGGGGGGGGCCAGCCCGCAAGACCCCCGCTGCCAGTCACATTTCCGAGCTCCGGGGGCGCCCCGCGGTACAAAGGAGGAGGCCGACCCGGAGGGGAGCGGCCTCGCCGAGACCACCCCCCAGTCGTCCCAAGAGTTCAGCAGACTCTGGCCCTGGGAGTTGCTAGCAGGCCGTGCTGGCCGTGCTGGCAGGCCCAGCTACGGTCAGACCACTCGTGTGCAGCCTGGTGGCCTGAAGCCAGTCAGGCTTCTCTGAGCCTGTTTTCTCACCTGTAATTAGGGGTATAGTACTCACTTCGGCGTCTTTCCCAACAGATCCAACAGATGTGTATCATATTCCGTGTGTGGCACACTGCTAAGTGCTGTGGGGTGTACAGGTGAAAGGGCAGACTTTTCACCCCCACGTTGGTAACCAGGTAGAAGGGAAAACGTCGTGAGAGAGAATAACCCATAATGCAAAGAGATTATAGGGGTGATGATGGGAACATTACAGGAAACGGGTGCTGGCCGTCTGCCAGCGCTTACGGTGCCCTAACATGGTGTCACGGGGTGATTGTCTCCTTTTGGCCAGTCTTCAGGTTACCTAACTTTTCACACTGACCCTTAGAAGAAACACACGCACACAAACCCAAAATCTTCCCAATCCCCACATTTGCCCAAATTATTTTTTTACCGTTACTTATGATAAACAAAGTGTAAACCCCTGGGCTTAAAATTTTTATTCAGCCATTAAAAACCAAAACAAAGTAAATTACAACAAAGTTACTTTTACAGTAACATTCAAGTGAACATCAGTTGTGGTCCTGGATGTTTTGCTGAAATGGAATTGCTACTCACAACATGAAGATATTGTTACTGGCCCAGCTGGGTTTTTTTTTTTTTTTTTTTTTGGTTGGGTTGGGTCTTCGTTGCTGCACGCGGGCTTTCTCTAGTTGCCGTGAGCGGGGGCCACTCTTCGTTGCGGTGTGTAGGCTTCTTATTGCGGTGGCTTCTCGTTGCAGAGCACGGGCTTCTAGGCACGCAGGCTTCAGTAGTTGTGGCACGTGGGCTCAGTAGTTGTGGCGCATGGGCCTAGTTGCTCCGCGGCATGTGGGATCTTCCTGGACCAGGGATTGAACCCGTGTTCCCTGCATTGGCAGGCGGATTATTAACCACTGCGCCATCAGGGAAGTCCCTCCACCGCTTTTCAAACAGCTGCAAAGCATTTGTTCTCACAGTAGACCTTGACTTCATCTGGCTTCACTTGGTGCGAACATACTGTTTATCGAGTAAGGCAGACTGTTCTGTCCTCATGAGCCTGTGATCGTCAAGTAGCACTTCTAGGCTGCAGTGACGTAGCAAACACAAACACAAATGCAGACCCTGCAATCCCAGGGCAGTGCTTGATTATAAAAGCATTATCCAGATCAACCCAAATATACTTATTCTGGTTTTAGGGAAAATATGGAAAAATGAAAATACATGGTGTATATTCTTGCACGCTGATAGAGCAGTTGGGTTGGGCTGGACTCAGAGATCGAGAAGTAATGTACACGAGAGAGAACATGGGCTTTGAAGTCAGCCTTGAATTCGGGTCTGCCCGCTGACGCTTGCTTGCCTTGTAATCTTAGTAAATACGTAGCCTTTCTAGGCCTTAATTTTTTTATCTCTAATATGTGAATAATAATAATAATGAACTTCAAATGGTGGGTTCAAGTGATAGCTTTATGATGTACTGACCTTGGTGAAACAGCTGCTCTGAGCCTCTTTTCTCTTGTGAACGGGGACTAGCAATACTTAAGTCATAAGGCTGTTGTGAGGAGTCTCAAGAGCGTCCTCCTGTGAAAGGTGGCGGGTTGGCCACATGTGTTTGTCTCTGTTCCCTCTGAAAGCACAGTGAAGACTGGTTTTAAAGCATAAAACCGAAGAGGACAGGAGAGGAGATGATTGCCACAAAGCGATGGCCAAGGGCCAGTCCACCTCCCAGTGCCAGGAGCAGCCCGGAGCAGCTGCCTTTGGCCGTGGCCCCCTCCAAATCCCAGGAGATGGCACTGCCAGGGACCCCTGGTGAAGGGGGACTTAGAGCAGGAGGATTACCTGAAAGGCCGTTTGGACACAGACCCCCTCAGTCCGCTCCCTGATGCAAGCACACAGTGACGACCCTTCCACCTCAGCAGACAAGTAAAGGCGCACACTTTCCCAAGGTTGTTTTTAGGAAAGAGTCAGCTGGAGAGTGTCTGGACTGGGGGACACCAGGCATACTGCAGGACCTGAGGGAAGGGAGCCGTCCTGAGGAGAGGGCTGAGAGCAAGTCCACAGACTGGGTGTTGGGCCCCAGCCCCTGCCTTCACCACCCCCACCCCCGGCTTCTAGACTGGCAGCCAAAGAAAACACTCTCCCGGGTGTCCGATCCCGACACACAACCCCAGAGACATTGAACTAGTTCATTGTAAGAAAGTAGAACATCACTCATACTCAAGAGTTTCCACTCAGCCTTTTAGTGTTCACTGTTTGGGTTTTTAATATTCTTCAGTGTTTATTTATACCCCATTTTTTACTAAGGGATATAAAACAGTTATATGTTCTGTTGCCTTCAGCCTCCCCCTCCCCATCTGATCCAAATTGTAATTATCAGCATTTTCCTTATTGGAAGGTTACATCTTTTTCTCCCTTCACTCAGCATGGTGGAAGCAGTGTATTACACATGTAACCCAAGTAGTGCTTACTCTTAAATACGTGGTTGGACAGCCAAAGCCACTAAGCATGAGAAGAAAACCCCAAGTAGGGGCTTCCCTGATGGCGCAGTGGTTGAGAGTCTGCCTGCCGATGCAGGGGATGCGGGTTCGTGCCCCGGTCCGGGAGGATCCCACATGCCGCGGAGCGGCTGGTCCCGTGAGCCATGGCCGCTGAGCCTGCGCGTCCGGAACCTGTGCTCCGCAACGGGAGAGGCCACAACAGTGAGAGGCCCGCGTACCGCAAAAAAAAAAAATAAATAAAGAAAACCCCAAGTAAAAAGGACGGGACTGAGCAGCAGAGTGGAAATCCAGTGCGCACAGAGAGAAGGGAGGTGCTGTGAGCCTGAGGAAAGGCTGGGATCTGATTTTAAACACTGTGTCTCGGCATTTGTTTGAGCTGCTAGGCTACTGAGGGTCAGGGCAGTGAGGGGGAGGAGGCCTCGTGCAGCCTGGAAGGGTCAGAAGGCTTGTTGGGGGAGATGCCAGCTGCATGTCTAGAAGTATGAAAGGGAGGGGAGGTGGGTGGGGTAGGACAGGCTGCCGAGAAACATCCCTGACCCATGGGGTGTCCGCGGTCAGTTTGGTGGAGCTGGAGCATAAATCCAAGGTAGGGAGGGAGTCCTGATTGTCAGGCTGATCTCACTTAGTGGAATTACCCGTCACCACGGGTACTTAAACCTTTGCAGGTCCCCCTGGGCGTGTTGGACGTGGCAGAGGCAGGTTGGGGGGCCTCACGCTGGGTCGGCCTTCACCTTCACTTGGGGCGCGAGGCTGGAGCTGGCCCAGGGGTCATCGAGGCCGGTCAGCAGGACCCCAAGCCCGCAGGGCCTCTTCCCACACACATGCCGGTTCCAGTCCGCCCGGCAATCCTCCAGCCGCGGCCTGGCCTTGGGTCCTGATGGCCAGGAGGTGACCCCACGACTCGCCTGCAGTAGCTCTGCCCGTCCCTGTCTTCTTCTTTGCCGAATCCGAGTGAAAAGGCCAAGTGCCCAGATAGGGATTGTTGGTAGGCTGTTTGGAGGAATTCTCTCTTGGGAGGAGAGCACAGATCCCAGGAGGTCGGAGGCTGTTTGTGGGTGGTCCTGAGGTTGTGCGTACACACACACGCACACAAACACACAGAGTGTGAACTTGCCTGGGAGCCGAGGAGCCATCTGAAGTTTTTGAGCTCTGGCCTGGGTTTTGTAAAGCTAGATGGGACAGAGGGTTTTAGGAGGGGGAAAGGACTGGGTCCACAGGAATAGTGGGAAGAGGTGCAGGGGTGCCCTGAGGCGGGTGGCAGGTGGAGTGGCTGTGCTGGCGGGGGGCGGGGGACGGTGGGGCACACGGCACACAGGGGTATAGGTGTGGGATGTCATCGCCATTTGGATTGCAGGCGATCAGTTGCAAACATGCGCGTACCTATCAACAGCCAAGGAATCTCGCCGTGTTATCGTGTACATCTTAACACGGACAGACATCCAAGGTGCATTTTACGTGAAGAAAGCAAGAATCAGAACCATGTGTGTAGTGTGGCCACAATTTTGTCAAAACAAACTGAAAAGTATGTGTGTGTTTGTGTGCTACTGACTATCTTGAAGCGATATTAAACAATATGCACCACGTGTTAACAGAGCTTACCTGGGACAAGGGATTAGAGGGACTTCCCTTTTGTAAGCCTTGGTTGTCTGTCATTAAACATTCTTTTCCCTCAAGCCCTGTAACTGTCGTAACTTAAAGGCCCTACTATTTTAGAAAGATGCCAGCCACTGACATTAGTGTGGGGAGAAGACTGGTCCCAGGGCCGGTCGGCGAGGAGGACATTGGGGGTGTGGGGACATGGGGCCGGAGGTTTTGAGGAGGCAGAAATAGTTTCCCATTTCTTTCCTGATTCGGATGCCACCAAGAGATCAAAGAAATGCCTCTCGGATTTGGGAGGACGTGACTTCAGTGACCTGGTGGTTCCTTCTGCTTCTGAGTCACCAGTGGACACACCTGCCCAGCTGACGCCAGTTTGCACCTGCAAGTGAAGCATCGTTCTTAGGCTTACCCGCTAGAACTGTGTGGCGTGCCCGAGCCCGTGTCTCCCACCGGGCGCCGCCACGCATCACCCGGGCCTGCCCAGAGGACCGGCAGGAAGTGGCCCGTCACTCGAGCCATGCGGTGGTGTCCTGAGTGCCCTCACCTTGCCCTGGTTTGTGGATTTTGTGCTTCTCCACCCAGCCTGGTCTCCTTTGTTTCCTTCTGAGTCAGGTGCCAACCAGCACTGGCCACAGAGGCGGGCCCCCTGGAGCTCCCGCTTGCTCTCTGGTACCCAGGCCATCTCTTCTCTTGGCTGGAGTCAGGGTCCCGCTGTCTCCGCCTCAGGCAGCCTGAGAGGCTTGCGCAGCTGCCTCCCAGCTCAGCTTCCCTCCGGGTGGGCTTTATAAATGGCTCCTAATTTCCTCCCCTCCCTTTTTTTTTGCATTTTTTTATTGAAGTCTAGTTGATTTACAATGTTGTGTTGATTTCTGCTGTACAGCAGTGATTCAGTTACACATATATGTACATTTTTTAATATTCTTTTCCATTATGGTTTATCATAGGAGACTGAATATAGTTCTCTGTATTATACAGTAGGACCTTGTTATTTACCTAATTTTTATTTTATATATTTTTGTTTGTTTTTACCTTGTCCTTTGAGACTTGTGTGATGTAAATCAGTTTTCTTAAAACTATATTTTAATTTCAAAACTCCCTTGGGACTTAAATTCGTAACGATGTGTTAGCACATATGCCATCCAAGTGGAACGATTTCAGAAGCCCAAGTGGTGTCTTTCCAGGGTTGTAGATCTGAGCTGAGACATAAAAGAATTAGAACATAAGGTGCTCCCTCGAAGCTGGGGTAAGGTGTACCACTGATGGCGTGTGCAAATTGAGGGCCTCAGATGACAAGAGGAAATGTTTGGTTGGCCATTCATTCCCTAGAATAAACTATTGATTCTCCAAATCTTGCTTCCAAGTTCAAGCTATTGATAAATAGTGAGCAGGCCTGGTGCATCTTATTTGTCAGGAATGAGCTGTAACCGGCAGATCACCAGGAAACATGGATATTCTGTCTGCGTAAGCAGAGAAATGATTAATAAGAAACATGAACTGGCACCATCTGGGTTGAAATTTCCCATCAGGGATGAACGTTTATTAAAAAAAAATAAACGATCATTGACAGGTTTCCCCTCTCACGCTACTCAGTGGGTGACTTTGAAAACAGCCTGTGAATCAGCTTTTAGATTTTAGTCTCAACTGCCTTGTTTTCAAAAGCTCATCCGTCCGTCTACTAACTTTTAAAAAATTTATAGGAGCAACTGACAGGCCGTTTCTTTGATCGTAGGTGAAGGTTTTTGTTCTTGTTGTTTGCTTTTAATTTAGTCGTGACAGGGAGCATGGATCTCTGGGCAGCTAATAATAGCTGTGAGGTGAAGAGTACGATCCTGCCTTTAAAATGAGCGTGACCAGAAGGCGAGGAATTTACACGAGTGTGGTGGGAGAGGACGGGTACCTGCTGAAAATTTTCCAGTAGCTTGTAACTAGTTTCAAATTTATGAATAGCTCTGTGGAAATTAGGATGTAAACAGGTTCAAGCATCTGAACATCAGCTAAAATTATCTTTTGCTCGTTGATAGTCTCCTGATTGGCCTGGAATGTCTCAAATTAGAAATGTGGTATTTCAGCAAGTGTTACTTGCCGTTTGTTACATGACATTGGTAAGAGTTTTTCATTCATTCAGCAGACACTTAGGAACTTATTTGCCAGGCGTCCACTCTTTCAGCAAATGTTGCCTCAGTGTGTGCAGCGCCCACGGCCCGGGCTGGGGAAGCAGCTCTGCGGGAGGGCTCAGCGTCCGGCGGGCACCTGCTGGGGGCTGGGGTGCCGCCTGCACTACGGCTGCACAGGCAAGAACCCGCCCCGTCCCCCGGGCGCACAGCCCAGCCCAGCCCAGCCGGGGACACAGGCGACAGGCGTTCTGACGTGGGGATGCGAGGATGGAGCTGTCTGGGCTGATGGTGCTAACACCTGCCCTCTGCCTCCGCAGCATGGACAAGGACAGCCCTGATGTCCAGCAGGACCTGAACGCCCTCAGGACCAAGTTCCAGGAGATGCGCAAGGTGGTCGGCGCCATGCCTGGCATCCACCTGAGCCCCGAGCGGCAGCAGCAGCAGCTGCACCGCCTCCGCGAGCAGGTCCGGACCAAGAACGAGCTCCTGCAGAAGTACAAGAGCCTGTGCATGTTCGAGATCCCCAAGGAGTAGATGAGCTGGCCTCCGCGAGGCGGGCACGGGCCTCCGTCTTCCAGCTCTGTGGAGGGGGTCTCTGGTACTGCCTGCTTAGCTGAACGTGGCCCTGACTGCGGAGCGGTGTGCGTGCTGGCCTCCCTGGGCGTCCCTGTGTACTGTCCCCACGGTCCAGATGCATAATGACTGTGTGCCTGCCGCCGGAAGGAGGAGGGCTCCTGAGGCCGGGGGGCGGGGCCGCGGCCCGGCCTTCAGGCTGGGCTGGCAGATCCCGGGGCAAAGCAGGAAGGGAGGCGGCTGCCCTCTGCCCCTCCCCTCCGCTCGCGGCCCAGGTGGTGGGTATCCAGGTAGCCAGTGTTGAGTGAGCAGCAGGGTGCGTGGAGTCCACTGGGCAGTTAGGCCTGCACTCACATGGCGAGGGTTTAGGATAGAAAAAGGCCTTGGGAGAACGGCACTGTTCCTAAAGACTTGAGGGTGGCTTTTTGCTCTGGAATATTTGTTTCCTTCTGTGTTTGAGGGGTGGGTGTCACTGTCCGTGGGCTGCCCACCCAGGGCCCTGCCGGCAGCCCTGCCTCCAGGTTTCTGCCTCCCACGTGTGGGTGGGTGGCAGAGGCTCTTGCTCCTCTGTCCCTTGTCACCTTCAGGCAGCTCGTTTAGCCATTTCATGCCCAAGAATGGCCAGACCGCCTCAGGCCACGTGGTCTCCAGGTGAACAGACCCCTTCCAGCTTCTCAGTCCTGTTCCTGGTTTAGCGCGGCTTCCCCTCTGGCCTCACTGCGCCCAAACAGGCGGCCGTGATGTGCTCTCCGCTCAGAGCCCCTCGGGGTGGGGAGCACTCACCTGGCAGCCGTGCGGCCAAGGCCTGGTTCATAGATGCTTATAAACACCTTTGTTTCACCTAGACGGACGTTGTGTTAGTGTGACCAGACTGAGGTAAGAGCATCTCTTTCCTTCGCCTCTGAAGGATGCGGGACAAACGGGCTCATAACCTGTGCTGACCGAGTGGGGGGCTTAACAGCTGCCTGCCAGTTGGCAGGAATGTAGGTTGAAGATGTTTTGAGCAGGGGTTCTGTCCATGTCAGGCGTGCAGGGGGGTGTCAGGTTTCAGCGGCCTTGCCCAGAGGCGCAGGCTCTGAATTTAAGTGGGTGTCACCTGTTAGTCCAGCTCTACCCTGGGGCTGTTATCAACTGAATCAGTTATTTTCTTGACGTTTCAGAGTAGTGTGTGGGCCGGTTTTAAGGCTCCGACCAAATACTGTGGGACACGAAGCTCAGAAACACCAGGCGGCCGGGCTCTCCCGGAAGGCTGCGGCGGACACGGGCTCCTCATGGGCCTCTCCTGTGCTCCAGAGTTGTGACTTGTGACACTTTTCAAGCGTGTGATTAAAAGAACTTGTGCTCTGCTGTCAGGACGTCTTGGGTTTGTACTGAGAAATTCACAGTAGGACCTCCCCTTTGGATAGTTGAGAGGAAAACCTCTGCTTTGCTCGGAGGAGACAGAAGGAACTGTGGGCACCTCCACTCTGTGCCCCCGCGCCAGCCCCCAGCACACACGGCCACATCAGCTAGACCAACGTGAACATGGGCTGACCCTCCCGGGAGTGGCATCCATCCCCAGGGTGCAGCTGGCCCGGGGGCCCCCGGGGCTGCCATTCCTCCTCTCAGAGGTGGGTTGGGCCCTGGTGGGGGGCAGTCCCCCAGAACGGTTGAAAGCCCTCCCCAGGGCAGCACTGACACCTCACTTGGATGCCTGTTGGCGGGCACCATGTAAGACGTCGCCCGTGGCCCTCACAGCAACCCCAAGCGGAGGCGTCTGCTCTCTATCTCACGGGCGGAGAATTTGGGGCTTGGCAGGCGTCACTTGCCCCAGGCGTGCACAGTTACAAGTGGCAGAGAGAGCTGGGTCCCGAGTTGGGACTGGGTGCCCTCAACTGCTGAGAGAGGGGGTGCTGGACCCCAAGTGGGTGGCTAGCGCTTCCTGGAGCCGGAGGGGCTGGGGCTGCTCATTGTGACTGGATCCAGGTGGCTACATGGCAGAGCCTGAAGCTGACTCAGGATGAGGGTCCTGCACAGAAGAGGGCCCGAGGGACCCCTTGAACTGTCTGTCTGCGGGTTCCAGGTTTGGTGACGCTTTGTTGCCCTGGGCCTGTGCTGAGTATAGGATGGCGCCGGCCAGTCCCGGAGGCCCTTGGGGCTGGGCTAGTGGGCAACCTAGGCAGGTAAACAGCTGGAAAGATGCATCTCTAGGAAGGACCCTGAAGTGCTTTGTTTTTGTCCTGGCGTTCTGAGGGGTGGCTCCCCAAACGGAAAGGCATCCAGTCAGCTGGAGCTTTTGTGGAGCCTTTTCTCCCAGGAGGGCTGGAGCTGTGTTCAGAAAGCCAGGATTATTTTCCAGCTCTGGGGAAGGGGAGTCTAATTCCACAGAAGTAGAAACCCGCCTCTCCCTTCTCACCCTTCCCCCTATTTCTAAAAGCAGAGGAAGCATGGTTTTCCATTTTAAGTTATTTTATTTTATATTAAAAAACCAGTAACAAGACTAACTTCAAAGGTAAGGTTTTGTTCACGTCAGGTGGTGACACCAGAACTACCATAAAGTGCAAGTTCTCTGTTTTGCTTTGTGCAGTTGCACACACATGTAAACAAGGCACTCCCTAGGTCGGACCCGCCCTCAGTTTCAGGCCAGCTGTCATGGCAACCCCCAATCACAGATAATGCCCCGTTTTGTCCTGGCCCTCCAGCTGGCAGGACCCATTTCTGAAAGCCCAGTGGTGGCTGATTAACTCCCATTCCCACCCCCATTCTTAGGTCTTTGTGAGAAACAAGGCAAATTCAACCTCTGCTGGGCGGGTGGGGCTAGCGGGCGCCTACGGGGGATCGGACGTGGCGGGAGCCCGGGCTCAGCTAGCTCTCTTTCCTTCCAGAGCAGATAATGGTCCCTTCTCGGTTTCTTTGAGTCTCCCCAGTGAACAGGCTGGAGTGCTGGGAAGGAAGACGCCCGTCCGCGCGCGCACGCGGCTCGGGACGCACGGCCCCGGACACTTGACTCTTGGACAAGAGGGTCTCCTGAGGCTCTGCGTCCGCGCGGGGCGGGAGTTCCTAGCTGATAACGCAGCGTTCCTTGTCCTTGGTCTGGCCGCCGCCGCTGGCCTTCTCGCGGATGTACATGAGATCGCTGTGCACGCTCGGCCTGCGCGCCCAAGGCGCCAAGATGCCGAAGGCGTCGTCCTGGTCGCCGCCCGCTCGCCGCAGCCTCTTGCCCCGCAGCGCCTTCTTGTGCAGCGCCTCGCAGTGCTGCGCCGATACCCGGCGGTGCAGGTCCGGGCTCATCTCGCGCGGCAGGTTGGCCATGGCGAAGAGCGCGTGGAACATCTGGTCCAGGCGGCTGTTCCTCTTGGCCGAGATCTCGAAGTAGGCGCAGCGCTGGGGGTCGGCGCCCACCAGCTGCTCGATCTCGCGCTGCTCCACCTCGCGGTAGAAGTCCCGGTCCCCTTTGTTGCCACAGATGACCAGGGGCACGTCCACGTTCTCCTTGGTTTTGTTCTTGAGGCAAGACTTGGTGTCGAGGATCTGCCGCTTGAGCCTCTGCACCTCCTCGAAGGAGTCGCGGTTGTCCAGGCTGAACACCAGGATGAACACGTCTCCTACGGGGAGCAGAAAAGGAGAGGGTGAGGGCAGCCGCCAGGGGACAACTTAAGCGGGCTGACTTCGGGGCCTCCCGACGCCGGGCTTCCGGCCGCCGCGAGGGTCGCGCCGAACTCTCCGCGGCCGCGCCTCCAGCCCAGGCAGGCGTCCGGGGACGAGGGGTCCCCGGCACTGCGGCGGCGCGCTCCCTCCCCTGCCCGCTGCCCGGCCGTCCCGGCTCACCAGTGAGGATGGAGAGGCGCCGCATGGCGGGGAAGGGGTGGTTGCCGGACGTGTCGAGGATGTCGAGCTGGTAGATCTCGCCGCGGATGCAGTAAAACTTGCGGTGGAAGTCCTCGATGGTGGGCGTGTAGGCGTCCTCGAAGCGGCCAGTGAGGAAGCGCGACACGATGGCCGTCTTGCCCACCTTGGACGAGCCAAGGACCACCATGCGGTAGCAGTTCTTGGCCGGGATACTCAGTTCCGAGTCGCTCTGGTACATCTTCTTGATCATCGCGGCCAATTTCATTGAGCAGAGGGACCGCGGGGGCGGGCGCGGGGCCGCGAGACGAGCCGACTGTGGCTGGGGGAACGGGGCAGAGCGGCGCGGCTCGAGCTCGGGACGAAACCTCTGCCTCTCAGCGCCCAGCGACTGCCCTTATATGCAGCCCGCGTGGCCGCCCCGCCCCGCGCCCGCCCAGCCTCTGCGCGTCACGGTGCGCACGCTCGCGGGCCCCGCCGCGCGCTCCCTCCACCTCCGCGGGCCGCTGCCCGTTCCCGCCCGCGGGGCTCGGGAGGGAAAACGGTACAGGGTCTGCCTGCGGCTACGGGCGCGCGGACCCTTCGCTTCTCCGCTGCGCGGGGCTCAGCGGCCCTAAGGGCGTCGGGGACACAGTCCCGGCTGTGCCTCTGACCTGGGGCAAAGAACCCCCCACTCCCCTGCCACCGCAGCACTCACACGCGCACACGCTCACTCTCTTTGGGACGCAGTTTCCCCAGAGAATAACGACACTGGGCAGCGTGATGGCATGTGCTTGCCTGGTGCTAGGCACCGCGTCCGGGCTCCGCCCATCTTCTCACCAGCTCTGCGAACTGGCCCAGCGTAGGCCCCTTCGCGTCCCAGGCGGGTTTTGCTCCCGGGCGGCCGTGCCAGCGCGAGGTGGGCGCCGCGCGCTCCGGCCGCCAGAGCGCAGCAGAGGCCCCGCCGCCAGGAACGGGGAGCCGTGAGCGCCACGCTCAGGGCTGGAGATAGCGCAGCCAGAGCGTCCCGACGCCGCGTTCTACTGCAGGCTCAGCTCCTTTCTCCCAACCAAAGATCCGCTGGATCCTGACAGGGGTTTTCAGCCAGAGGCTGTCCCGTCATCTTCCTGTCGGAGACTGGAAGGACCAGAGGTTTGCCCTTAGTCAGTCTGAGGCCAATGTCCCCTCCCTTCCCCATAGCATTTTGTGCCTCTGGAGTCCCGTGGGCCAGCATTCCCATTTTTATAGTTGGGGGAGCTGGTCTCGAAGCCAGAGTGAGCCTGAATGCTGTGTGGGCATCACAGCAGTCTCCGGCCTTCTCTGGACCTCGGGTTCCTCTTCTGGAAGATGAGGGTCTGGCTCTGACTGGCTGAGAACTTGCGAACAGTGTAGGGGCAGGACCTAGTAATAACAACAATAGTAAATGACCCACGAGGCTGCAGGACAAACCGGGGGGGCGGGGGCAGCAGGTAAATCAGTAACCAGGAGTGGGCTGCTGCCGAAAGGCTGGGGAAGAGGCTGCCGGAGCTGGCCAGCTCTGGCCTGGAGCTCATGGAAAAGCCATCGCTCCCCGTGGTGACAGGCGAGGCACTCTGATTTGGGAGAAAGCCAGGGCTGTTAGCTGTTGCCACCCACCCATCCACGCAGGTCGGAGCTGTGGGCAATGCTGGGGTGCCAGCCCGCACCCCTAGCTGTTTACACAGGGCCTCTGGACTCTCATGGGCTTCTCGGCCAGCCCTCTATGATGAGGATTCCAGCAGAATCTCACACCCTCTGCAGGGGGGCCAGGAGAGTGTTTATTCCACGTATTCCATGCCAGGCATTGTTCTTAAGTCCTTCCTCGTGGCACCCGTGAGGGGTGGGAACTATTACTCTCTCCATTTTACAGGTAGAGAAACTGAGACAAGGGAAGTGACTTGCCCAGGGCCCACAGCTAGTAACTGCAGGGTCCAGGGTTTGAACACAGCTCTCCCTGGGGTGGTCAGTGGGCCAGGACCCAGCCTAGAGTCAGAGCCTCCCTCCCCCCACCGCAGGTCCGGCCCCTTCCAGCTGGTGACAGTGGTGGGTACTGAGCCCAGCCTGGGTTCTCAACCTTCGATTCCTGGCACCTGGGCCCATCCCCACCCACAGATGCCGGGTTCTAAGACTTGTTCTCCCAGGTCAGCCAAGTTCATTAGGCCCTGAGCACACCTGTCGTTCTTTCCCCGAAGTGTGCCCCCTCCCCCCCCACCTTTGCATTAGTTCTAGGTTGTCCAGGTTTTTACCAGTGATCTCTCTTCCTATGCTTGAGCGCCTGCCTGTATCATTTCCTTGCAATGAAGCAATTTTCCAGCTCCGAGTGGAATGGGGAACCCAAACGTTGGGGGTGGGCTGGGGTCGGACAGCTGGACCCCAAGGCAGGAAGTGTCCACCACAGCCTGGTCTGCTGGCACAGAGTGGCTTAGAAGGTTCTTGAAAGCCGTGTTTGAGGAGTGCCGGGCGGGCCCCGTCAGGGGGCGTGTGGATGGATGCTTGTGCTGAGCGCCAGCCTGCCGCCCGAGCCCACCCCCAGCAGCTCCTCGCCCAGAGGGTCCTGTGTCACCCCGGCCCACAGCCACACCTGACGAAGAGGACAGGGCTGAACGGAGCTGGGTTTCCCCTCTGACCTCGCTTCCTCGGCAGTTCCCTCCTCAGCTGCGGGGTGCTCCCATCACAGCTGACCCTCCCCACTCCGGGCCCACCCCTCACGGCGGCGTGACCCGCGGGTCAGAGGCCCGGAGGTGCTTGGTCTTGCCCTGACAGAGGGAGGGCTTAGGCCATGGGGGCCAGCACGTCCTTGAAGGCTAGGGAGGATGTGTGTGCAGCGGTGCCCGTGGAGGGGTGAGCTTCCTGTCCCTGGAGGTATGTGAGCAGAGGCGTTGGGTAAGATCAGCCTCTGTGCCTCCTGTGGCCCCTCGAGCCCGGAGACCTCTGGAACCCAGACCCCAAAGGGCACCCTTGAGGCGCTCCATGGCGGGGTGGGGGCCCAGCAGCTCCGGTGCCCAGGGCAGGCACGGCTACGGCAGCCACTTCACAGGTGAGAACGCAAGGCTCAGGGCCAGGCGCACACATAGAGTACACCCGTCTGCCATCCTGAAGGGAGGAAAGGCGAGTTCTGTGCCCTTGGAGGGCTGGGGGCTGTGCAAGGGAGGCCGGGCCCAAATGCGGGTCCTGCCCCGTCCCTGTGGCTCTGTGGTCAGGCCCGGCAACCGGCCCCGGATGGCCCCACAGCTGCTCCTTGTGGCCACACGAGGTCCACGAGGGATTAGGAGAGAAATGTCAGTACCCAGAGACACCAGGTTCAGCAGGGGGTGGGGGAGGGCCCAGTGCTTCCGACCCAGGAAGCCGAGGCAGGGCCGGTCCCGCTGGCCCCTCACAAGGGGCAGAAGTGGGGTGAAGCTGGTGGCACAGGAGGCCCAAAGGCCTGGGCAGTCCCCCCCATTCGGCGTGGATGGCGGCGCCGCTCCTGGCTCACGGACCCCCTCCCAGACCCCAGCCTGCCCCTCCCTGGCCTGGACAGACAGAGACCAAGGGGGGGCTGGGGTCAGGCGCCTTTATTGGTCAGGATGTGGTGGGTGGCAGGGCAGGGGGCTCTGGGGCCACACGGTGCCTTCCAGGCCCCCAAGCCACGTTTCCAAGGCACTGGACGGCCCAGGCCAGGCACCGCTCTCCCCCTCCCCTCGAGGGGCGTGTGCTCGGGGCAAGCCCGAGGTGGGGACCCCCACGGAGTGGCCGCGGTCCGTCAGCTCCTCTTGTGGGCCTGGGAGGCTTTCTGCCGGTAGATCTCAGCGGTGAAGGGCCTGCGGGGGTGGGAGAGAGGCTTGCTCAGCTGGCGTCGAGGTTGACGCTGCCACCCAGGCCCCCCACCCGGCGTCGACAGGGTGAGGGGTCCGTGTGGGAGCAGGAGGGTCCAGCACCACCTGCCCGGCACCCGGGCCACCCTGTGCCCGCTCTCAGCTGCTCATCTGCCACCCTGACGGTGACTCGGCGTGGCCAGCTGCCCAGGCCCCAGGAAAGGCCTTGGAGGGAGAGGGAGAGGCAGGGCTGGTGCAGGTGACGCGGACGGTACACGGCAGCCCCGGCCCGAGACGGCGCCTACTCACTCCTCATACAGGATGGCGACCGTGTAGGTGAGCGCCACCACCGTGGTCAGCAGCAGGCCGGCGGGGCTGGCGTGCCTGCGGGGAAACGTGGGTCAGGGGCAGGCCCGGGTCCAGCCTTCTCTTGGACCGGGGTTCCACGGTCCGGGCCCTGACCCGGGGAATAGCTCGCCACTGCCCGTCCAGGCCTGGCTCCCTGTCCACAGGCCTCCAGCTCCAGTCAGGAGCTCAGAACAGTGATGTGGGGAGGACGGAATGGCTGGCCTCCCCAAATCACTTGAGTGGTCAGCGTGTCTTCTGCACAGGAGGCTGTCCCGGGGCAAAAAACGCTCTCCTTGCCCACCAGAGGTGACGTTCTCAGCCTGTTTTCTAGAAATGGGTCCAGGGCCGCCAGAGCCAGGCGGAGCGTCCCTTGGGCCCCTTCACGGGCTCTCTCCTGGTGACTGCTGTGGGGGCTGGGCCCCTGCATAGACAGTCGGGGAGGAGAGAGGTGGGTGAGCTGGCTGGTGGAGCCCAGGAGCCAGAGGAGAACGTGAGCCCCAGGCCAGGGGCCCCGAGGCACAGGGGCTGGAAGACACACGAATACCCTTTGGGGACCCTCTGCCCTGCCCACTCCCCTCCCGCTGGGACATCACACTGTCCATCTGGGGGCTCCAGCAACAGTGAAGGGTAAGTGTCCCCTACGAAACCGCCAACTCCCGTTCCATGGGCTCCATTCAAATCAAGCTTGAGAGGCGGACTGGGCCACTTGGCCCTCGGCACTGCCACGTGGAGATGCCAAGGCCACAGATGCTTTGGGGCTGAAATGAGATCTGCCCTCCTGAGGCTCTGCTCACTGGCCCTGGTGCTGTTTCCTGAGTGGGCAGGGCTTCCCCCGCACAGCCAGGCAGCCCAGGTGCTGGGGAGGGGCAGGCTGGACCCCCCCAGGGGACCTCAGGGCCAGGGCTCTGTGGCCACTGTATCCCTAAGGCTGACGGCCCCTGCCTGGGAAGCCGAGTTAACTAGGCTCTACGGAGGCGAGGGTCGGGGCAGCCGGTGCCTGGTCAACCCCGACATGGGCCCTTCTCCGTTCCATCCACGTGAAGTTTCCCACCTTCCAGGACCTGTCGCACCTAACAGCCTATGTGGAGGTGACCATCCCACACTGCACATGAGGAAACTGAGGTCCACAGTGACCCACGTGCCAGAGCCCAGGCCTGGCCCCGAGCCTGGGGCAGGTGGGGTTGGTCCCAGGGACCCGGCTGTGCATACTGGGGCGGGGGCGTCTCACTCGGCTGACAGGCCCAGAGAGAGAAGGCCCAGTTCCTGGTGCCCCCAGAATCCCGCTGCTCTGGGCCTTCTGGGGCTCCCACACACCTGGTTGCTTGGGTACCCGGAAGGCCCATCCGTGGGGCCGCAGGTCGGGGACAGATGGGCTGCGGAAGGCCTGGGGCAGCCCTGTTGGGTCAGCGTCTGGCGCCCCGGGTAATGGCTTGTCTCTAATGAGCTCTCAGACAGAGGGCTCCATCCCCAGCACAGCCGAGGCCCCCTCCTCATCACCGCATGGCTGCTGTCCTCCTGAGGGGTCTGTGGGAGCCTGGCCCCCCTAGGATCCCTCACATGTTCCTGAGAGCCTGGCCTGACAGCCCTGAGGCGGCAGCGACCTCTCACTTCTGGGTGCCAGGCACTGTTGGGGCACAGAGAGGACCCACTGTGTGGCTGAGCACAGAGAAAGGACGAGAGAGAGAGAGAGAGAGAGAGAGAGAGTGTGTGTGTGTGTGTGTGTGTGTGTGTGTGTGTGTGTTGGGGGCATGTGGTCAGGGAGGACTTCCTGGAGGAGGGGACATCTCCAGTTGGGTTTGGAAAGACCCAAGTGGGAGGGAACATTGGGTGTGCTAGCAGGGCAGGCTGCAGGGGGACCTGCATGGGGTTCACCCTGCCAGTCTCATGTGGGAGATGCTCTGGGGAGTGGGTAAGTCAGGAATGTGAAGCCTGCCCCACTGGATCCCACTGCCTGAGTCCAGGTGAAAGGGGCCAGGCTGAAGGTAGGTGGGCAGGGTCTGAAGTGGGGCTGGGGTTGGGGGGTGTCCCGCAGACCCACACATGCCCCTCTAGCTCCTCGTCACTCAAAGCCCAGTGATTGGATCCCGGGCCACCCCCGAAGGTGGGGCTGGGAGGGGACGTCTCGCTCGCTCCAGGCCTTCCACCATTGATTCATTCCTTTGGGTCCTGTTGTCCTTCCGGTCTCTGGGAGCACTGGTAACCTTCTAGGTAAGTGGTTTTCAAGCAGAACACTTTCTACAAAAACAACTTTCTATGGAAGAAGTCCTCAGCCAGAAAATGGACAAATCGGAGCTGCTCTGGGGGGCAAGCGGCGTGATGCCCTGTGCCAGCCTCCTTGACGGCGGGCCGCTTGCTGGCACCCACAGCCGGCGACGCAGACGGAGGTCGGCATGGGGCCTCATCCGCAGGACGCGGATCCCTGCAGCCTGGCCGTGGGCAGGGAGCCTCCCAGCCCAAACGTTCCAGCACCGAGTCAGCAGCCTGCAGGCCCCGGGCCAAGAACAGCTTTTACAATTTTAATTGTTTTAAAAAATCAAAAGAATATTTTGTGACTCGTGAAAATTACGTGAAATTCTAATTTCAGTGTCCATGAACAAGGCAGTGGGGCCCCCAGCCACGGCCATTCCTTCACCTGCCTGCAGCCCGGGGACCCCCCACTCTTGTAATAGGGAGTTTACCGACCCCTGTTCTAGGAAGGGGACCCTGACCAGTGCCCTGGGCTCCACGGTGGCACGAGAGCTGACCCATCGCCCAGGTGGCACAGAGGGAGCCCGGGACTTACATGATGGCCCAGCCCAGGTAGTTGGCTGTGCTGCCCCAGTACATGGGGTTGTCCAGGACGCTGAACGGGAACGTGGTCACTCTGGTCTCCTTCAGGATCCCGAAGTAGTCGCCTGTACACAGGGTGGGCAGGACGGGGGGGGCGGTCACATCCTGGCCACCCCATCCCAGACGAAGGGGCCTGGGGTCCCCAGGGGCCGAGGCACTGAGTCTCCACGCCCACCTGCTCCTGCCTCTGTGCCTTTGCACACGCCGTTCCCCCTGCCTGGGGTGCCTATTGCCCGTTCCCTGCACACCTCTCCTCTGCCATCTCCCTCAGCTCACATCCCCTCCTGTAGACCCTTACCCCCACACTGTCCAAGGCAGGCCTGCCTGCTATTCACCGTCTCTGCCTCCATCTCCGCCCTCCGCCCCCCGCCAGGCTGCCCCCCACCCCGGGCCCCACCAGCCGGCCTGGAGCCGCTCACAGGGGAGCGTGTGGCCGCCCCGAGAAGCCTCCCCTAGAGGCATGAGACACAGGCACAGTGTCCGGCGCAGCACTGCTCACTAAGGGCCCCTCTCCCCGACGTCCCTTGAGCTCCAGGCACAAGCAGGGCAGGAGGAGTGGCAGCGGCGTCATCGCTGTCTGGGGACAGAGGGCTCGGGGCCGGGGAGCCGCGGGAACCTTTCTTCCTGGTGGCACAGAGACCAGCTTTGGGGTGACTCACGGAGGGAAGCGGCTGCCATGCCCTACATCCCAGAGTCTGTGGGCCCCTTGAGTTTCCACACTGTTTCTCCGCGGCAGCAGCTGGCATCTGGGCCCTTCCCCCTCCCTCCTCCAGACCCTGCGCTGCCCCCTCCTGCCGCCCTCTGCTGTGGGGCTGCTCACCCCGGCCCTCCTGACCTGAGGTGACAGCACCACCCTTCCCTCCCCCTCCACGAGGCCCACACCGTGGTCCCCCCCTCCTCCCTGCCCCCTATCCCGGCTCCGCCCCACCGGTCGCCTCCTCGTTGCTGGGAGACCACGCCTGTGGCCCCCTCCTCCCCGGGAGTGACACCTCAGTCCCCTGCATGGCTCTCGGGACACGTGCGACGTGGCCCCCAGCTGGCCTTCCACTCTGGCCCCACTAGCCCTTGCACACCAGCCACCCTGCCCTCCCGCCCGCGGCCCTGCACCTGCACACCCTCCTCTAGCACCGGGCTCCCTCCAGCTGCTGCCAGGTCCTCGCCCAAGTGCTGGTCCCCAGAGGACGACAAGTCTCATTTGCCTTCCGAGGGTCTTCTGTGGGACCCCTGCTGCAGCCCGCAGAGCCCCAGGCCGCCCCAGGCACTGCAGGGAATGGAGGCCAAGACTCCACAGCTGGCTGGGGCGAGGGGAGGAGGACCCAGGAGCCCCTGACCAGGCCGTCAGAGCCGGGTCACCCCCCTGTGCCCCGTGTGCCCGGAGGACGCTCTCTGCGGCAGTGGCCCCCTCCCCTTCCCCCAGTCCCGGGGCTGCCCTGGCCCCTGCAGCCCCCACCCCGCCCCCGGGCTGCTCCCCTTCCCGAGCTTCCAAGCTGCTGGGAGTTGACGTCAGGAGGACATCCAGCCAGGCCAGCACTGGGCTCCCAGCCCCAAAGCACTGGAGCCACAGGCAGTGGGGAAAGCAGAAGGCGCAGCGCCCCCCATGTGTTGCCAGCTCCGGCTCGCAGCCCGCACACAGCGAACAGAAATCCCGCCCTTCCTGGCGGCCAAGCAGCTGGATGGGGTTTGAGAGCCCGGCCTCCCAAGCGGAGCAGAGCAGACCAAGGCCTGGAGGAGCAAAGGCGGCCTGGAGCTGGTGGTAGCCGGGCCCCGGCCCCCCGCCCTGGGGGTCTTACCTAGGAAGGTCCCCGTGAAGCCCAGAGCCAGGAAACTGGAAAGGACAAACACGCCGCCCACTCCCAGGAGTGCCAGGCCCATGCGGTAGGCCAAGGGGTTGTCCAGGCTCTGCATCCTGGGTTGGCTCAGCATGGCCTGCGTGAAGCTGCGGGGCAGGGGACGGGAGAGACAGGTCACTGCTGTGCAGAGGGGCCACCCTGCCCCTCCCGCCCCCAGCCCCTGGGGCCCCCAGAGTAGCCGGGCCAGGAGTGTCGAACTCGGGGCAAGGCGGGTGCCGAAAGCGAGTGAAGTGGGCTGCTGGGGGGCCGCCCGAACGACATTCAGCCCGTGAGAACAGCGGCGCCTCCTGCCCCGAGCGCCTCCCTGGCCCCAGCCCGCGCCAGGCAGAAGGGGTCCCAGTATGTGCTCAGTAGCCAGAGGAAAAGCAGCCCCCTCCCCTCGCCTCCCCTCCCCGCAAAGGAAGAAGGGGGGCAGGGAGAGAGGGAGAAGCATCTGTTTGAACAGCAAACAGGACGCCGTGGGCAGAGGCCTGCATGGTGACCTGTCAAACAGTGGCACACATGTGTCAGGGCACACCTGGCCACCGGTCACGCTGCCCACACCCCCTTCTCTCCACCCACCCCTCCTGCTGCCTGGGCTCAGGGTCACCCTGCAGCTCCAGGCTGAGCCGCTGGGATCGGCTCAGGGCCGCGCACACGCAGTGTTGTGCTAGATGGCCGAGCCGTGCCCCCCTCCCCACCCCCAGCTCCGAGAGACCAGCAGCCTCCACCCCCTCCCCCTCTCCTGTCTGCAGGCAGTGGAGTGGGAGGGGCCGGGCGTGGGCAGCAGGTGGGCCCTGGCCCAGCAGAGCCCACCTGCAGGCCCCTGGCTCCTTGGCCACCAGAGTGCTAGGGACCACGCGACAGAGCGAGTGTGCGTGAGTGGGATGGGGGAGGCGCTCAGGCCTCCACGCGGATGACCCACTTCCGCTCAGCCCCCACCCAGGCTGACCCCCGACCCCCAAACCTAGGGCAGCGAGGCATGCCGGGCCCCCTCTGGCCATCGCTAGGCCGCCTGCAGCCTGGTGCACCCACGGCCCCAAGTTCTAGTGGGGGGCACCGCACGGCGACCCGATGGAAGTGCCGTGGGCTCGGGCAGAAGAGTGGCACTGGGTTCAGACAGACCTGGGTGCCCCAGGCTCAGTTTTCACCCCTGTGATGGTGACACTGGGAGGTATGTGACCCGCTGGGCTCTGCCCACAGAGCTCAGGGACAGCTGGAGGGATAGGGGAGCGAACTGAGGGTGACACCGTGAGATGAATGAAGCAGGACAGGCACGCTGGGCGGGGCCACAGCTGTGATCCCACGGAGGAGACGCAGTTTCTTTTGGGGTTTTCTGCGCTGGGGGTGTGAGTGGAGAGGCTCACCCATGTCTCTAGTTCTGCTTTTAAAACCTGGACTGAGCTTTTGGTCACCAGTGTGACAAACCTGTCTGCATTCTGCTCCCCAGAAACCCCGGAACATGGGTGGAGGTGGGGAGGGGTGTCCCACTTGGTGCCCATTTCTATCCGCAGCCGATAAGCCCAGGGAACCCCAGCCGCTCAGGGACGTGGCCGCGACACCGTCTCGGGCTCGGGGCCCTAAGCTCCCCGTTCTTCAACCCACACCAAGCGAAACTGTCCACGAGAGTAGCATCTGACAGGCTCCCTTGTGTTTTCTAACACACATTAAAATAAGCATACAACCACAAAATCAAAAAAAGTGTTCACATGGGTAACATTTTCCACCTGTGAAAAGTCACGTGGCATTTAGGGCTCCGATGCTGTACTGATTCTGCACATTCGACCAACACGTCGCCTCTCCAGAGTTCCCCAAGCCCGCCACAGCCAAGCCAGGGTCTGAGGGGAAAGGAAGGGCGAGGAGCCCAGGCTGGCAACCCTGCTCTGCGCGACCCCACAGCCCCTCCCCTGGAGGGTGGGCTGCCCTGTGAACACCAGGGGTGCCGGTACCTGGTGGTGCGAGGCCGGGGCATTTCACCGAAAATGTTACCCTGGGGCCCTTTCAGAGAGGCTTTGGAGGTCAGAGAGACTCTCCCGCTGGCCTGGAGGAAGGCGCCCGCCCTGCTGTGGGGAGGGCACAGGCTCCAGAATGAGAGCCTCGGTCCTGCAGCCACAGGAGCTGAGTCCTGTCCCCCGCCCATGAACCTGGGGGAGGCCCCACCCGATCTCTATGTGCTCCCCCTGCACCGGCTGCCCGGCCTGCTGTGCAGTGAGCTGTTCCCGTCTGTCTGCCCCATTCACTGCTCCTTCGTGCGGCCACTCAGCCATCAGGCCTGTCCTGACCGTGTCCTTGGGCAGCTCCAGCTGGACCCTGATGCAGCAACGGCTGGCGCCCAGGCGGCCACAGGGACAGAGCCACCCATGCTGACGCCCCGCCGGTGCGCCAGCCCACACGCAGGGACCTGCCTTCAGGCAGCGAGCACACAGGTGTGGGGGGAGGCTTGCTCCCCCCAGCACAGCCCGGCTCCTGTCCGCTGCGCCTCAGCCCGTGACTGACGGACACCCATTCACATGGTGAGGTCCTGAGCATCACAAAACTATACCTTAAGATGGCTGAAAACACACACACACACACACACACACACACACACACACACACACACACACCCTGCAGGAACCACATAAAGTGACTGGTGAAGGGTGCCAGGGAAGGGGGCAGGACTCCCACAGAGCCCCTCCGCAGAGCCCCAGCCAGACCACCCAGACCTGTCAGCAGGGGGCAACCGGGAGGAGGACCCGAGAGGGGAGAAGAGGAAACAGGCCTGTGGGGGGGGGGGGGGGGGGGGGCGTCCTTTCTCTCCCCCCAGATTCCCTGGGTGGCCAGCTCAGCCAGACACCAGGCCTGGCCAGCACTGACACAGGGGCCTGGACGGTGGGGAGGGCGCTGGACCTGGGGTCACTTCCTCCCAGGCCTCCTAAGGGCCCAGGACACAAGAAGAAACAGGAAGAACAGGAAAAGGCCGTCGGCCCTCGGGGCTTGGCCCTCAGGGTACAGAAGCAGGACGGACAGGGAGAGGGGCTCGTCTAAAGCCACCTGCCTCTGCCGAGCGCTGGCAAAGGGAGGGCTTGGGTCGGGGCCCCAGGGGGCCCCCTTCAGCCCTTGGGCCGCCGGGCTCTCCATCGCCTCACCCTCTGCCCCTCTGCTGCCCCGGCCCCCACCCCCGGCTGCCCACCTGGGCGCAGCCCACCTGCAGGGCGGGAGGGACTGTCAGCCTCCACCCCCCAGAAACAGCAGCTGGGGCTGGCCCAGGGTTCTGGGCTACCAGGTACCAGGCTGAAGAGAGCCCAATTGGGGTTTTCTCTTTACATCTTGGACTCAGGAAGCCAAGAACGCAGAAGTCTAGAACTGGAAACAGCACGTTCTGTTCGGGGAAAGGCAGCAGGTCCTGCATCCTGAACAGACTGATGTTTCGGGAGCTCTAGATGCCTCCTCGGTGACTGCCAGGAAGAAAGCGGCCGGCGGGGATGGAATGTGCCCACTCGGGCACTCACACGTTCGCTCACCTGTTCATTCATTCATTCACTCATTCAGAAGGGCCAGAGTGTCTGCAAAGGCTCGTTAGGGAAGAAAACAGGAAAATAAAAAAAATCAATCGAGCCGAAGGGTAGCACCTGGGCTGGCCTGCAGCCCAGGTGGGGCCGTTTGGGTCTCCTCTCCCCCCAGGCTGAGTTTCTAGAGAGTAACTGGGGGAGGAAGGCCGGGGTGCAGCACAAACACACCAGCAGCCAAGCCCGCGGGAGAGTTTCAGGAGCCGACACAGAGCCCGCCCGGCTGTCCTCTTCCCCAGCCCCCGAGGCCACTGCTCGCTGCCCTCCGTGCGGGCACCTCTCAGCCAGCAGAGCCGGGCGGGCGAGGGTAGCCCAGCTCAGAGCAGCCCCTGCACAGTGAAAGCCAACAGTCCATCCGTTCGCTCCCTGGTCGTCATCCGTTTGCGCCCCCCGCCCCCCAACAGCTCGCGGCTCCTGTTTTCCTTCCACGTCCCGGGTGCCGCCTGACCCCCGCACGAGCCTTCCCGGGCGGCTGGGACTCTCGTGGAGGGGACGGGGTTCCGTGCGGTCGGGCTGCCCCTCCCGCAGGCGCGCAGGGTGGGGGGCGGGGGCCTTACCAGTGGGAGCGCAGCACGTTGAGAAGCAGGATGGCGCCGCCCAGGGTGCAGCAGGCCAGGTGGGGGGACCCGAAGGCCCCGCTCAGCTTTCGGGTCTTATGTTCCCATCTCGCGACCTACGCAGCGGAGAGAGAAGCAGCCTGCGCGTGAGGCCTGCGCGGAGGGTCACGGTGCAGGGCGGGAGCGGGGTGGAGGGTTCAGGAGGAGGGGGGATGGGGGGATGCGCCTGGCAGCCGGGGGTTCTCAGCCCAGCCCCGTGGGGCATCCACCCTGCGAGTCCTGTACGGACGGACCACAAGGTGCTCCCGGAAGCAGCCTCTCCCGGCAAACACGACAAACACGGGGGCAGGGGCGGCCCTGAGCCCGCGCGGCCCGCTGCCGCCCTGGCTTCCTCTGCCCACGGCCTGGCACACACTCGGGTCGCCCACTGCATGACACAGGGGACCGCGGAGGGCAGGGAGCCTGCGGACGTGGCCCAGCGCCACCATCCGCGGGGCGCTCCCCCCGGGTCCTGGGCCCTCAGCCCTACCCCCCAGTGCGCCGCCAAAAACAGACTTTCCAGCTTTTAACTTTTAGCCACAGAAGCCTGCCTTTATTTTTTCAAGCTCGTCACGCCTGAAATCTCGACCTTCAGCAGCCGACAGCGGAGCCAAGTTGAGGGCGGCCCCTCAGCTCCCTCCCGCCTCTGCCGTCTCCACGGCTGCCTGCCTGTCCCTGTGGCACGAAAGCCAGCCGGGCCAACTTGCTCAAAGTCGGGGGGGCGTCTGGGTGGTCGGCCTTCAGGACAGGAACCTGCACACGTTTCCTTCTGGGGCCCCTGGGGGACAGTCCCCTCCAAAGCAGCTGGACCAAAGGGGACCCACCGAGGGGTGAAGGGAGGTCCTTGCAGGGTGACTGTCCGTCGGGAAAGTGGACGCAAGCGTCCTTGGCCGGAGGAAGCAGCCTGCTTTCACACATGGACCCGAGACTCAAGCCACAAGCGTGGACGGGACGTCCAGGCAGAGTGAGCTGGGAGGGGCGCTGACGTCCCAAGAAGCGAGGGATGTCAACACCAACAATAAAAATCACAACCGTCGATTCAGCACCTGACGATTTAAGTGCTTTTACCTGCGCTCACTTAACACTCAAAACAAGCCTGGGCCGATAGCACTGATGAACATGGATGCAAAAATCCTCAACAAAATACTAGCAGACAGAATCCAGCAGCACATTATAAGGATCATACACCAGGATCAAGTGGGGTTTATCCCAGGGATGGAAGGATTCTTCAATATACGCAAATCAATCAATGTGATACACCATATTAACAGACTGAAGGAGAAAAACCGTATGATCACCTCAACAGATGCAGAAAAAGCTTTCGACAAAATTCAACACCCTCCAGAAAGTAGGCATAGAGGGGACCTACCTCCACATAATAAAGGCCATATATCACCAACCCACAGCCAACATCGTTCTCAATGGTGAAAAACAATAGCTGATTCACTTTGTTATAAAGCAGAAACGAACACACCGGGACTTCCCTGGTGGCGCAGTGGTTGAGAATCCACCTGCCAATGCAGGGGACACAGGTTCGAGCCCTGGTCCGGGAAGATCCCACATGCTGTGGAGCAACTGAGCCCGTGCGCCCCAGAGCCTGCGAGCCACAACTACCGAAGCCCGCGGGCCTAGAGCCCATGCTCCGCGACAAGAGAAGCCAACGCGATGAGAAGCCCACGCACCGCAATGAAGAGCAGCCCCTGCCCGCCGCAACTAGAGAAAGTCCGCGCACAGCAGCAAAGACCCAACGCAGCCAAACATAAATAAATAAATAAATTTATTAAAAAAAAAAAAAAAAGAAACTAACACACCGTTGTAAAGCAATTATACTCCAATAAAGATGTTAAGAAAAAGAAACAAACAAGCCTGGGGTGGGTGGGATGAGGTCCGTTTACATGTCGGGAAGATGGGGCCCCTCAGAAGTGACTGGGGTGGGGGGGGTCACTCAGCCACAAAGAGGAGCACCCGAGCGACCCCGAGACTCCGGGCCTAGGGTCCCTTCTATCTGAAGGGGCCCAGTTGTCCTTCAAACATGCTGTCTTTGTCACAAAACCTTGTTCCTGGTATGGGATTTCAAGATGCAGCTTTAAAGGCCACTGATTTTTCCTCCCAACTGACGAGCTAACGCTTTCAAAAGGACACTGAAATGGGTGGGAAACCGCGTAGTACCACGTCCTCACCCCTCCTGCAGGCCCGGTGCGGGAGCACAAGCCCCGGGGGCCAGACCCAGAGCCCCCGCGTTTGTCGGTGCAGGCATGTTCCGCGCTCTCCCCCCACCCCGAACCGGCCACCCACCGAACGGGGCACGTGGACGAAGTGTGGTCCATCCAGAGGACGGCTGTCATCGGCTTCATGCAGAGCAGGAGGAGTCTCCATCCTCGCAAAGGCCTGGAGGGCAGAGCCCACCACGGTGACGAGTCAGAGCCGCAGCGGCTGGGCTGGGGGTCTGACTAGGAAGGGGCAGGAGAGGACGTCTGGGGAAGGAAGGGTTAGGGTCTTGATCAGGGCGGTGGTGACACAGGCGTATACATTTGTCAAGACTCAAACTACATTAGAATGTGTTTACTTTATTGTATACACACTCTAGCTCAATAGAGCTGATTATTGAACATCCCGTCCCTGCAGAATCTGAGCTCTAGGGACAGATGAGAACGGCCACCCATGTCACCCACCCAGGCAGACTCTTCTGCTCACAACACGCCGGGTCCGGCCCCTGAAGGAGGGGCCTCTCCCCTGTATCCAAGGGGGCCGTGACTGGCTGCACCCCAGCCCAGAGCCCTGGGCAGCGGAGGGGGCCGAGCTTCAGCCGAGCGAACCGGGCGCTGGGACCTCCGGACTCCGAGCTGGGCCCCCCGCTGCTCTGCGGACGGTGGAGTGTCTTTCCACCAAAGGCCCTTTGGGGACCGCTCTGCCGGCTCTGGCCTCCCAGATGGCCCCCCAACGCCTGCTCCTTCACCTGGGAAATGGCGGGGTCATAACTGCACTTTCTGAGCAACCCAGAGACAAAAGGTGGGAGAGGGAGGAGGGGAAACAGCGAATCCGATTCGCCAACAGCTGTCTGCCTCCCGGCTGGCCAGCCTTAGGTCGTTATTTCAAGGCAATCAGTAAAGCAGCAGCCAGGAGCCTTGCTGGGTCCGAGGTTAATGTCCCGCCTGGCCTTTCTCGGGGCCCAGCTGCACACTTCATCGGATTAGGGGCCCGGAAGCAGGCAGTGGAGCTGAGCACAGGGGACTGGCCACCACGGGCTGGGCCGTGAGACGATGCAGGTCATCACCCCGGGGGCCGAGTGACTGGCGCGAAGCGGGATGACCAGACGCTCTGCTGTCACCCTCCTGACTTGGCGTGGCTTCTAGGTTGCCAGGACCCCAAAATGGAGATGCCCTGGCCCAGCCCCTGGCCCTACCCCACACTCACGTTCCCTCTCCCTAGGGCTGCCAGAGAAACACAGGCCCCCGGGTGAACCTGGATCTCATATAAAGAACAAATAATTGAGTACAAGTTGCCCCAAATGTAGCTCCCATTTGTTGTCTCCCTGAAATCAAGCGAACTGAGCTGGTTCTGCGTTTGCCACCTTGGGCCACCTTGCCCGCGCCCCGGGCAGGGTCACCAGTTCACCTCTGTAACGGGTAGGCCTCTTGCCCAAAATGTTGATTTTTTTTTTTTTTTCAAACCTCTCCCACAGAATCGGGGCCAGGGAGGAGGCTGCCGGGGCAGGAGGGGACTGGGATGGATGGAAATCGGGGGAATTTGTCCCTGACCGCCAGCCGCCAGCTGTACATTCCGTCCACCGAGTCAGCAGGGAAATGCAACAAACGGGCCAGTGACTCCTTATCCACCTCCCAGTGTGCGGGGAAGACCCAGCGGGCGACGGATGGCCACACGCCAGCACCAGCGCCTCGTCCGGGTGGAGGGCCCCTCCCCCAGGGGCCCTGATTCCAAGAGCAGCCCCTGTGTCTTGGTCCCCTCCGGGTCCCACTCGGCCACACTGATGGTGCTGGGTCTGCCTGTAAAGGAGGTGGCTCTGTTCCCCCCCCGGCAGCCTGGGGCCCGCGTCCTGGGGCTCAGAGGGCGTAAGGCATAGCCCAGAGGTGTTTTGGTCAAACCCATAGCATTTAAAAATATCTGTCCATCAACAGACGAACAGATAAAGAAGATGTGGTACGTATATGCAATGGAATATTACTCAGCCATGAAAAAGAACGCAATTGGGTCATTTGTAGAGACGTGGATGGACCTAGAGACTGTCATACAGAGTGATGTAAGTAAGTCAGGAAGAGAAAAATATTGTATATTAACGCATATATGTGGAATCTGAAGAAACTGGTACAGATGATCTTATTTGCAGGGCAGAAACAGAGACACAAACGTAGAGAACAAACGTATGGACACCAAGGCGGGGAGGAGGGGTGGGATGAATTGGGAGACTGGGATTGACATATGTACACTATGGATGCTACGTGAGAACCTGCTGCATAGCATGGGGAACTCAGTGCTCTGTGGTGACCTAAATGGGAAGGAAATCCAAAAAAAGGGGCTATATGTAAACGTGTAGCTGATTCACTTTGCTGTACGGCATAAATTAACACCACATGGTGAAGCAATTACACTCCAATAAAAATAAATAAATAATAAAAAATAGAAAGCATTTGACCCAACAATTCAACATCACTTAGAACTTCCACATTAAAACCCAGGCATCTGGGGCTTCCCTGGTGGCGCAGTGGTTAAGAACCCGCCTGCCAGTGCAGGGGACACGGGTTCGAGCCCTGGTCCGGGAAGATCCCACATGCCGCGGAGCAACGAAGCCCGCGTGCCACAACTACTGAGCCCGCGCGCCTAGAGCCCGTGCTCTGCAACAAGAGAGGCCACTGCAATGAGAAGCCCGCAAACAGCAACGAAGACCCAATGCAGCCAAAAATAAATACATTAATTAAAAAACAAAAACCCAGGCATCCAATTTGAGGTGAAAAATCTGGACACTGAGGCTATGGGGGCTTCCACCCTGCACGGCAACCCCGGCCGCAGCCATGCCCGGGGTGGGAGCAGGCATCCCATGTGGGGTCGGGTTCCTGCAGGCTCATGCGGGGGGGCGGCAGGGAGACAACAGCCGCATGCCCGCCGGATGGGCAGCCCCGTTAACTGCAAAGCCGACTCGCCAGCGTCCACAGGGAAGGAGAAAAAACACGTTCCCAAGACACGCGAGGCGTTTGAGCTAGGAGCCACCAGCTTCGCAGGGCGCTGTGTCCCAACACTCAGAGGCCTGCTGGGTTTGAGGCCCAGGGATCAGAGTGTTGACGGTTAACGTCATTGACTCAGGACCTGGAACTCCTGTGTGTGAGCCAGGGGGGGTCGCCGCGGGCTCAGCAGGCCTGGACCCTGGCCAGTTGTCACAGACTGTGTGCCCATGGGCCGTGTCCTCTGCCTGAAACACCAGTGGTACCGACCACAGACAGTCACAGGGACCGCATGCTCGCCCAGGGCCAGGTAATAGTGTGTCCCCTGGGACACCCTCACACAGGGAGGCTGACAGCCCAGTGGCACCTGTTAGAACCAGGACCCGCCAAGCATCCCGCACTGTCCGAGCATCTCACTGGGGACACAGTGAGCGTGGGTGACAGCAACTGAAACGATGGGGCATGGGGGTGAGGCCACAAGGACAGAGGTGGACTCTGGGGGGTCTTTTCAGAGCCTGTGGTCCACAGAGCAGAGTCTCCAGCGCTGGAAGCATGAGAAGTCCTCCCTCTCGATCCACCCACCCACCCACCAAGCGCCCATGTAGCCATACGTCCAGCTCTTACTGGGGGCCCTACTACAGGCCTGATGTTGTGCTGGAGTATTCTCTTGAAAAGAAAATGGGGAAAAAACACAGGAAGTAAGTGCTTGCTTTGATTGGTACATGTAATTTAACAGTGATAACTCAAAGCCCAGATGGGTCCACAGGACAAAAGCCAGGGCAGCAGGAGGAACCTGTGCCCAGAGCACCTCTACAGCGCGGCGGGGGGGGGCTGCTCTGGACGGCCCCCAGCCTCTCAGACGCCCCAGGTGTCCTCAAAGTGAGGCCCCATGTGAAGTGAGGCAGCGGCCCTCACGCTCCTTAAAGGACTGACTGCTGGGCGGGGACCCAGCGCCCGGAGGACGGCAGGTGGGCTGGGTGCCGGGTCCCGGGTTCGCCCACGAGCTCCTCTGCCTACCAGCCGTGTGACCCGGGGGCGTCGCAGCCCCTCTCTCTGCCTCAGTTTCCTGACCCGGAAGAGGGAGCCAAGCAGCGACGTCGCACCTCGTAGCGCTGCTGTGAGAGTCCGGGAGTTGACGTGTGTCTGGAGGAGACTGCGGCACTGTCTGCCTCCTTCTGAGGGGACAAGCGGGGGCGGCAGGGGGCCGCCCACAGGTGAGGAAAGCCTGCTGCGCCCGCGTCCCGGGCGGTGAGGGCCGGCAGAACTGGGACCACGTGGGCACCCGTCTGCCAGAACCTCCCCCTGCAGCCCCCGAGGCCCTGAACCCGGCAGGAGGGAGGCCGGCCACCGTCTCGTCCGGGCTCTCCACCTGGGGGCCTGGGCGTGTTCCGGGGCTCAGTAAACATCCCCAAACGGAAGCAAAGGCCGAGTGCTTTTGCATTTGTAGCTTTTGCTGAGAAGGAGCCAGCGTTTCCCTGTGTTTTTCAAAGGGGCCCACAGCCCAGAAGCACGAACCACCTGTGCACCACCACCCCTCCCGCTTGGGTGGCGGTCCCCTCCCGCCAGACACACAGGTGCTCCAGCCTTCTCATCTTCTTCTTCCTGCCTGCGATGCACGCCACGAGCTGCCCTGGACCACCCAGCACAGCCAGAACCTCCCGCTCCCTGCACCTGGCTCCACCGTCAAATGACACCCCACCTCTGTCTGTGCTCAGTGTCATATCCGCACGCGATGCAGCCAACGGAGGGGGGCCCCTGTGAACGCTGATCTCCACGCGCGGGTGGACACGGGAACACACGACAGCTCAGCGGCCTCCCACCCAGCCTGCTGGGTGAGGGGCTTCCCTGCAGCGGGGCTCGGTGGGGCCCTCCCAGCTGGTTCCATCTAAAAGTGGGTGACGGCCTGGCCTGGAGGGACTGGGAAGGGTGGGAGCTGGGGGGCTCCACGAGAGGGAGTCCCAAGCTGCGCCCTGTCGCTCAGAGTGGCGTCCAAGAGCTTCCCCCAGCCGAACTGCCCCTTCACCACTGTCCATTAGCTCGCTCAGCCATCACCTGCTCACTGGACACCTTCCACCAGCTTGTCCAGGGAATACATCGATGCTGAGCTGCACGCAGTATTCCCCCAGCAGTGAATTCACATCTGGACTTGACTGCCTGGGAGACGGTCCCCAAATCCTACTGCCCACCCCAGACAACCTGAAAGGTTCCCGACAC